CCCATGAAACAAACCCATGAATACAAGCTCAATTAGTGTGCAACAAAGGAGCCAAGAATGTCCAATGGGAAAAAGACAGTCTCTTCAACAAATGGTGTTGGGAAAACTGGACAACTACATGTGAAATAATGAAACTAGACCACTTTCTTACCATACACAAAAATAAACTCAAAATGGACTGAAGACCTAATTGTGAGACTTGAAACCATAAAAATCCTAGAAGAGAGCATAGGCAGTGATTTCTCTGACATCAACCCTAGCAACACTTTTTCTAGCTATGTCTCCCGAGGCAAGAGAAACTAAGAATAAACTACCATGACTACATCAATATCGAAAGCTTCTGCATAGCAAAGGAAACAATCATCAAAACTAAAAGACAACCTATCGAATGGGAGACAATATTTGCAAATGACATATCTGGTAAAGAATTTATATCCAAAAGATATAAAGAACTTACATAAGCCAACACCAAAAAAACCCCAAATAATCCAATTAAAAAATGGGGGAAAAGCATGAACGTTTTTCCAAAGACATACTGATGGCCCACAGACACATGAAAAGATGCTCATCATCACTCATCATTAGCGAAATGCAAATCAAAACCACAATGGGCTATCACCTCACACCTGTCACAATGGTCAAAATAAAAAATACAAGCAACAAGTGTTGGCAAACATGGAGAACAGGGAACCCTTTTGCACTTTTGTTGGAAATCAAACGGGTGCAGCAACTGTGAAAACCAGTATGGCGGTTCTACCAAAAATTAAAATAAAATTAGCATATGACCTAGTAATTCCACTATCAGGTGTTTACCCAAAGAATACAAAAACACTAATTTAAAAAGATATATGCATCCTTATGTTTATTACAGCATTATTTACAACAGCCAAATTATGCAAGTAGCCTAAGTGTCCATTAACAGATGAAATGATAAAGAAGTGGTATGTCTACATACAATAGAATATTACTTAGCCATAAAAAATAATGAAATCTTGCCATTTGCAACAACATGGATAAATGCAGGGTACAACAGTAAGTGAAAAGAGCCACTCACAGAAACACAAATACCATATGATTTGGTCAGATGTGGAATTTGGGAAACAACACAAATGAACAAAGAAAAAAAGACACAAGCCAAGAAACAGACTCTTAATGAAAAAGAACAAGCTGATAGTTACCAGAGGGGAAGTGGGTGAGGAGATGGGTGAAACAGGTAAAGGGGATTAAGAGTGCACTTATTATGATGAGCACTGAGGAACGTATAGAAATGTTAAATCATTATATTGTACACCTGTAAACAATACTGCTTACTACTTAGTTTTCACTAGAAAGTAAAGTTTCTAAACATTAAGAATTCTAACAAATGTTAGGTGCCTGGGTGGCTCAGGTCAGGATCCCAGGGTCCTTGGATAGAGTCCCTCACTGCTTTCCTTGCATAGTGGGGAGCCTGCTTCTCCCTCTCCCTCTGCCACCCCCCACCACTTGTGCTCTCTGTCAAATAAGTAAATAAAATCTTAAAAAAAGAAAAGAATTCTAAAAATGTCATTAAGACTACTAGAGGGGCAGCTGGGTGGCTCAGTCAATTAAGCATCCAACTCATGATTTCAGCTCAGGTCGTGATCTCAGGGTCATGAGATTGAGCCCTGAGTTGGGGTCTGAGCTCAGAGCTTGGGATTGCTTGGGATTCTCTCTCCCCCTCTTTCCTGCACAGGCCTGCTCTCTATCAAAATAAAATAAATTATTTAAAAAGACTAGTGGAAATAATGAGGGAAGCAACTGTGTATGTAAAGAAAATAAGATATGTGTTTTGGGTAAGAAAGTATGAGAAATGGGAATACATTTTTGTTGAGGGGGGAAATAGTAATTTGTCCTAAAGTAAGACTCATTTAAAGAGGGGAAAACAGGAGAAAATCTTAATGTAAAAAAAGAAAGAAATTTTTAAAAGTTGCAGGAATAATGTGAAAAAAGAATAATGTGCAAAAGAACATGTAGTTACGACAAAGATTGGAATTAACAGTCGGGGGCACCACTTATGCTAAAATTAACAGCTGCTTTGATGGCTGGGTTTGTGGAAAGGATCACTTTTGCTGATGCCTTCAGTTGATGACTCACCTCTGTACCAGGTCATTGAGAAATTATACTATGTTTTCTTTTGTCTTATAGGTATATTAACCTCATGGTGCTGTTTATATCACTGCCACAGGTATGCAGCCCAACTCCCAGTATCTGGCTCTAGGGTCATCACAGAAGAATGGCACATAAACTGTACATGCCATACACACCACACAGGCCATAAAGACGTCGGAGGTAGAGTGTACGAATACTGACCCCATATTTGGCTCTCTGTCTTGTTCATTTCCAAGTGATGACCTCCCTCAGGGGTACGGGTTCCAGGTTCCCTGGAGGTTAAAGTGTCCTGACCAGAATATGGGAAGGCTCCTTCTGATCTTCCCTGAAGTTATTTAGATAACTAGTAGGGGTAACATACTTTTCTTCCCCCTCTTCTGGAGGACATGTGGCCCCATGAAGTCTGTTAAGTGTTAGACCTCTGACCTCACTCCAATGCCCTCTGCACATCCCTTCCCACTCTGTAAATGTGAACTAGGGTCCAGAACTGTGGAGCATAGTTATGTGGCTGCCTGGATCATCACCTGCCCAATCTCCCCCCACCCCACCGCTGTAAATTACCCAGAATGAAACTCAGTGTCAACTGTATGGAGTCCCCCACTTTGTTTTCCAATTTCAAAGCGCCTTCTCAGTTTCAGGGATACTTTATTGTCCCTCCTCCACCTCCCAACTGTCCCTCCTCCACCTCCCAACACTCCCTTTTCCTCATTTCTTAAAGTGAAGTAAGTCCTCCTGATCCTACAGGATGGCCCCAAAGTCTGTAAACCTACCTATACAGGATAAATGGTTGACTGACATTACATATCTTGATAATGTTCAATGAGTGGTCCCTAATTAGAAATGCATAGTTCGATGTGTGCTGCTTCATTTGCACTGAGTAAGTCAGAGTCTTTACCCCACAGGGTTAGTGGGATGCCCCAATGTGGTAACAGGAGTCAGGGGAGAGGAAGGTGCAGAGTGGGCAGTCCTCATCTGTTCATAGTGCAGCCTGCTCCACATGGCCACACTGTCCCATTCAGTTACAGAAATTATCATTCCATCAGTTCCTTATATCTCTGGTGTAATGGCTCTGACGAGACACTCCAAGTGGCTTCCCCCTAGCCTGTCAAGCAGACGCACTGACTGGTTCCAAAGAGGTAAAATACTTCAAACACTGCTTCTTTCCAGATTTTACGGCCATTTTTATGTCCTTAAATCTCTCAAATCCATACTCTAGTCATCATCTCTTGGACAACCATAACAATCCTTAATTGGTCTCCACGTCTCCAGTCTCACTCTCCTTAAGCCACCCGCTAATGCTACCAAGTGTGGTTTCTTAAACTGTGTATCTGATTGTTCCAGAGACCACATATGTACTACTCTTTCCAGAGCGCACCAAATTTCAGAGTTGGAGGGCACCAAAAGGATGAAGTGCTAAGCCTGCTTAAGCAAACAGAAAAAGAAAAAAAAAAAAAAAAAAACCTGGCGGACAGGAAGAAGAAGAAAAATGTCCATCCTGAGTTGCCACTGCCTCCACCCTCCATCTCTGTTTTGCCCTCCTCTCCAACTGCATGCAATGTCTTTCCCCTAACATAAACCTTGCTCCAGATACATAGTACTTACAATCCTCTGGCCAAAGCAGTCTATTTTATATCTGCTATCCATTTGTTTATGCCACATTTTTTTGCCTTAAATACTACCATCTCAAAGAACCCTTCTCCTATTAAGTTGTTCTCAAAGGTCTAATATCAAATTCACTACTCTTCCTCTTAATGTAGTTTACCTTAGATATCTGTCATATTTTAACACTTTATTGGATTTATCTGGCTTACATTTCTATCTTTATTAGAGCTTACAATTTCTTGAAACAGGGATTTTGTTTGTTCTTAATCCCAAGATCCTGGTATCCAAAATAGGCACACAACCAGTGTGTTGGTGCTTGGAGTAAGCTGTACATTCTAGACTTGTTTGATTCTTAACCTTCTCAGGATCCCTTGAGAAAGTGAACACTTTGGATACTTTGCCCAAGAAAACAGACTGCAAATTTCCCAGAGGGGAGGGAAGGGGAAGTCATGAAATTCCTGTAGAGCAGTAAGAAATCGGTAGAGATTCCATTCGTCCTAGTTTTAGAACCCTTGCTTTTGAGGCAAAGCAGTCTACTGCAGTATTAAAGTACACATGCTCCCTCCCTCTGACCCTCCACTTTTTTAACTCCAAGTTTTTATCTGAATATATTAATTTAAATGGACCACAAAGTTTTTTTCACCCTCAAACCCAACAGACAGGCCAGTTAGACTAATTAAACTGTTTTTTTTTAAACCAAACCAAAACAAAATGTGTACTTTCCTCGTCCACGATCAGGTCCAAGACAAAAGAATCCGGCGGAAGTACCAGAGCCAAAATAAACAACAGAAACTCTTCACGACTTACAAATAAACGACCGTACTAATGCTTTATAAGCAATTTTCTACAGAATGAGAGACTATTTAAGTACTGTATCCGAAACTTCCTATGTCAAATGGGAAAACACACAGAACGGGTCCTACCGGGTCTCCAGAGCCCTGGTCTATTCTTACCCCTACACGCCAGTTCTACAAGCTTCTCCACCCGCTCCACCGACACAATCCACGTCACCTTTGTGCTTCCCTTCTTGCCTGCGGAACGGACCCCGTACAGATCCCAACTAGGGAGGTATGGGCCTTTTGGGCCGGATGAAGACTCCAGAACGCCTCCAGCCTAAGCTCCAGGTGGCCGGCGCTTTCTTTCCCATTCACCCCTTTTCTGCTACGCCATCAGCACCTCTTCCCGCCGCCCCCTCCTGGGCCTGAAAGAAGGGGTGGCAGGCTGCTTTACGGCGTTGTCCGCTCGGCGGAGGAAAAGACTGAGACTGGTACCTCTCGGAATAGCGCAGGAGCTCCGCATCTAGCTGTTCCCGGATACCGGTGCGTTTCCGGTTAAGGTAGCGCGGCGACAGGGCGATGTGTCTTCGGTGCGGGCCCGCCACCAGGCAAGAGTACCGGCTACTCACCAGCGCACAAGCGGCAGCATAAGTCGGCAGCTCCAGGCAAGGCAAGACGCCGGCCTGTCCCACCACCGGCCCCTCAGGGGCCGCCTTTGGCGGCGGAGCCTCTGAACAACCCGCAGCCATGCGGCTTGTCAGGTTTCCCGCGGCGAGCACAGCTGACGCAGGTGTAACTGGCTATCTTAGGACGCCGGCTTTCTGCGTCATCCACAAGCTGGCACGCCCCTAGGACATTTCTCTCCTTAAGTTGCATTACGCACATCTGACCAGCAGAGGGCAGCAACTTTTTCGCACTTGAGACGACTGGAGGAGCTAGGAGCCTGTGCTGGAAGGAGCATGCTGGAAGGAAGACCAGCCACCACGTCCTCTCTTTAAGGCAGGCAAGCTTTTATTTTCGCTAACGTCCTCTTTGGATTTAGTACGTGGGTTTAATAGGGGTTTACACTTTGATAATTTCCAGTAGTAAGGTGGTCTGGTAAGTTTTACAAGTGTGGAAAATACAATAATAAACTTTAAAATTTTAGGGAATATATTTTCTGCAGGAAATCGAATCCAGCTCAGATGCCTCAAAAGCAGCTCAGATGCCTCAAATGCAACACATCCTAAAATAAACCCTCTCTCCCGTCTGGACTCTCTGCTCATTCTGTAACAACTCATTCAGTAAATCTTACCACCACTTCCCAAATGGCTCAGTTCAGCTGTTAGTTACCCTTGGAGCCTCTCTTGTACTGTTAAATATCAAATCAGCCCCAAGGCTTGCGGGCTCCAAAGCGGAAATATTAGTTTATTCAGATACTTACATCTGTCCTCGCTTCCGAAACTACAGAAGTGCCTGTGGAAGTTTAACCCTGTGGTCAAGAGGATCCTCTGGAGCACCTTCTCTGAAATACGAATATAACTATGACTTGTCCACATAGGAACCCGTTTCTTCAGGATAGCACGAACTCCTTAATATGGCTCTTAAGTTACTTACAAGACCATATTAAGGTCTGCTGCCAGCCCAGCAGTAGTTTCATTCATCACACTCCCCACTTTACATTATGTTAGCCCCCCCCCCCCCATTGATTTACTTTCATCTTGTTCCCTTTTTCACCAGCTCCTGCTACCTGGGAATATAGTGACTTTTCTCAAATGGGAACACTGTACTCATATGTCAAATTTTAGCTTAGATTTTTGCATTCTCTTCTGCAGTGTACTACCATCCTATCCCTCTTCCCCCGTCCCCATCTAATGAAGATAGGGGATTGTTTCCCCACTTTTGTAAATTACCACCATCAAGCACTTCTTTTTATGGTAATGTTATGTCAGTTGCCTACTTGTCTGACTGTTCCTTCCTAGACTCCAAAGCTCACTTTAGGGCAGGGACCTGTCTTTTTCACCTCTGCAACCCTTTATGACTCAAAATAAAACGGCCAAATGCATAGGAATGAATGAATTAATGAATGAAAGAATGAAAGAAATAGCAGGCGACAAAAAGCTCAGAGTCTAATGAGGAAATAGGATCTAAACATAAATATACAACAGGATTACACTGTGTAAGTGCCAAGAGAAATGCATAGCATTTAGTGGTGTGACTTCTAACACATCTCCTCCACCTCCCCTAGGTACTGCAAAAGCCTCTAAACCTCTCAATTCACATTTATGCCTGTAAAATGGGGATAAAAATAATGTACCTATCCTGCTCACTAAAGAAATGGTAGGAAGTTCAAATAAGATAATTGAAAAACACTCTCTTTAGTATTCTTTGATTTCAAATTCAGCATGAGATATTACTGCAATGAAACTGCTCCCAAAGCCCAGTGATAAACATAAGCCCATGAATAGGAAATTTAATAGCCTTGACCTGGATTTAATTGGAAAGTTCTGCAAGAGCCCTAGGCAGGACCCCTTTGTTTAGTGTTTTCAACTTTGGCTACTCATTAAGATCACCTGAGGAGCTTTAAAATCTGATGATGCCTTTCATGTGGTGAAGAGCACTGGGTGTTATACACAACTAATGAATCCTTGAACACTACATCAAAAACTAGTGATGTACTACTATATGCTGGCTAATTGAAGATAATAATAAAAAAATAAATAACCAACCAACCAAACAAACAAACCAGAATTTGATGCCTTAACAACATCCCCAGACCAGTTAAATCAAAACTTCTCCTTGGAGCCAAGATGCATGTCAATTCTCTGCAGGTGAATTGAATGAAAACAATGTGTCCAAAGCAATGTAGTAAAAACAATAAGCTGGACATCAGGACAATAGAGCCAAAACAAAACTTACTTAAACTACCCCAGCAATGATTTTGCACAAATTTTAAATAATACGTAGTTTTATAACCCTTTGTGTGCTCTTAAGAAATTGGCTTGTTTGGTTTTGAAAATTGTTCTCTACTTTTTAGTTTTTTAAAATTCTGGCTTGACTGTTAGCTGCTATCCACAATCTACAAGATTTAAAAGAATAAAAGAATACATATAAATAATCACCATAATGGTAATTATGGAGTTAATTTACCAAAGTAACCTGTTTCATCTACTACCCAGAGAAGAAAAAGAAGTACAATGAGATTCCTCCCACCTATCTCCTATCCCACACAAATTCACAAGGTTTATTTGACCAAGGGACTATAGTTGGACTGTACTATTTTTTGACTAAAATTTGATCAAAATGGCCCAGGAAGTCAGGCATTGCTGGTCTCCGTCTCATGAAAAGCCCTGTCAAGTCAAAGTCAAGCATGCGTGAAGATAAGCCCTTTTCTATAAGAGAGAAGATTGGCTGTGACTTAGTATCGATGTCCACTGACACCCCCCCACCCCACCAAAAAAGAGAGATATCAATATTCCTGCAACTCTCTGGATTTTTTTTCTTTTTACCATCGACCTCCCCCCACTCCAACATGCACACATACACACTCTATGACGTTAGTGCGATTCTATTTCTCACAACGAATCCCTGGAGCAATATAAATGTGCAATCATCTGTAGTTTGCTGGAATAAGTTATAAAGTAACTTGTTGCATGTGTTCTGATTTTTATGGAAAATATGCACACTTACATGATTAGAAGAGAATCTAGATGTATAAACACTATATGTTAATATTAGTTATCTCTTAAGGGTGAGTTAATCACTTTTTAAAGTGTGAATTTTCATTGTAATGCGTGTACATTGTTTTATATTTCATAAAGGAGAAACTTAATGAGGGAACAGATTCCTATTGTTGGCAATTTGGTTTGTTACAAGATATCATCAATTCTTAGACGGTTTAATATAGTGTGAGGTGAGGAGCCTGGGGCTAAAACTACATTGTGTGAGCCTGAATCCTGGCTCTGCCACTTACTAGGTGTGTAACATTATTAGGCAAGTTCTTTCTTTTTACAGAAAAAAAAAATCTGAAATTATTAGAAGAGACTTTACTGGAAAAAATGGAATTAGAAAGGTTGATGTAGAAAGGTTTACACAAAATAGTTTTAGATGAAGGACAGTGCAGGTAAAATGGCATTGCATCAGTTGGGTTTTGCTGCATAACAAACCATCCTCAAATCTGGTGGCTTTAAGAGCAATCACTAATTCAATTTGTGATTCTATGAATACAAATCTGGCCTGGGCTTAGCGGGACTCACTCAAACATCTGTAGTCAGGTGTAGGCAACTCCATGGGTCTCATTCTCTAGCAGGCTAGAGTAGGTTTGCTTTCCTCACATCCGTGCATGTTTTTGATCAAGATTTTAAGGAGTCCATGGTCAACTCATCAGTTATAATATGCCTGTTTTAGCCTGATGAAGCCTGTAAAGCTGAACTTGGGAGCAGGAGCTTGTAACTTCCTTGAATGAAGAGCAAAGCAGAGTCCTGGACCTACGAGGAACATTCATATAAAAGTTTGAATAAACATTGGAGAATAACTTGGCCCCATCTCTGGGAATGAATTTTTTTTTAAAGATTTTATTTATTTGACAGACAGAGATCACAAGTAGGCGGAGAGAGAGAGGGGGAAGCAGGCTCCCCACTGAGCAGAGAGCCTGACGTGGGGCTTGATCCCAGGACCCCAGGATCACAACCCGAGCCAAAGGCAGAGGCTTTAACTCACTGAGCCACCCAGGCGCCCCATCTGGGAACGAATTTTTTGTTTTGTTCTGGTGTTACTAATATGATTAATTTCAGCTCCTCTTCAAAGTACTACCCATACAAGCAATTCATATACATAAACATTTGATTCAGCTTAAAACAAAGATTTCAATATAGTGTCCTCTTAAAATATTTTATTGATAAAATTCACTCTAGCTATGAACTATGTTTACTGAGATAAAAATGTGCAAATTTGATAGTTTTTTTTAAAAAGATTTATGTATTTATTTTAGAAAGAACAGGCTAGTGGGGGGAGGGGGTAGAGGGTCAGGAAGAAGAGAATCTCAAACAGATTCCAGCTGAGTGTGGACCCCTATGGGAGGTTTGATACCACCACCCTGAGATCATGACCTTAGCCACAATCAAGAGTCTGATGCTTAACTGACTGAGCCATCTATGCACCCCTGAAATTTTGTCAGTAGGAATAAAGTATCTTCAGTACAAACTAGTTGTTTGAAATAAATATGCTTAGTTTGAGAATAGTTTTGGGGGTGCAGGAAATGCATGTTTAAAATTTGCCTAAAGAGGGGCGCCTGGGTGGCTCTGTGGGTCCTGGGATGGAGCCCTGTGTCGAGCTCTCTGCTCAGCAGGGAGCCTGCTTCCTCCCCTCTCTCTCTCTCTCTCTCTGCCTACTTGTGATCTGTCAAATAAATAAATAAATAAAATATTTTTAAAAAATAAAATTTGCCTAATGAGTTTTGGAAATTACACCAAAAAAAGTCTGAACAGGATACTAATGTACCAAGCAGCTACTGGTTGATGCTAACTACATGGAATTCACAAATATGTCAGCAGATGGCAACTGTGAGCTTTAAGTTTCTAAAGTTTAGCTTTAGCCCAAAGTACTTCAGAGTGGCAAGAATCAAAGCACCTGTATATTGAATTGACAGTTTGTTTTTAACCTACGATCCTTCAAAAAAAGGACCTGGCATCAATTTTTAACTCTGAATGTTCTTCCTACATGCTTATTATATTGCTGAACTAACAGATGTGCACCGTGCTTACACTAAGGAAAAACAATGAGAGTACATT